GGGCCGGGGCCGCGGGGGGCGGGGCGCGGCAGCAGCAGGCGGGGCGCTGGGCACGGAGGGGTGTCCGTGCTCTGAGGGCAGAGATGGCCTCGCTCGTGAAGAAAATAATCAGCACTGCTAAGGCCCCCGCCGCATTGGGTCCTTACAGGTATGCCTTGGTGAGAGGGAGGTCTCCTGGAAGAAGCAGCACTCAGCAGGAGCGGGTTTTGCCCGGCAGGGTTCCGAGCAGGTCCCTGGAGCGGGGGTCTGGGGGGGTCCCCCCGATCGGGGACCCGTCTCCTCCCCAGTAACCCCCCGGGCACACCTGGAGTGCTACAGCGCGAAGGGCTCTGCAGTGCCAGCGCCGAACTTCAGCCTGATGGGGGGGCTGGGGCGGTCCTTATCGTTCTAGGTGAGGTTTTCACATGTCTCTCAAAAAGTCAGTTTGGGGAAATAATTCTAAAATTAGTGATAAGCAGTGAATGAAAAAAAAAAAAAAGAGAAAGAATGATTCATCTCAAGTCAAAAAACGCTTGTCTAGAATAAAGTCATGTTGCATGGTAAGTTATCAGTGAATGCTGACTCTGGAGGCGATGGAAAGGCAAGGCTGAGCCCGGTCCAGGACATGCTTTGGCTGTTGGAGAGCTTGCAGCCAGGGAATCGCAAATCTTCTTATTTTGAATGTGACTGTCAGAAGGTTATAAATGCTTTTCAGTCTAAAAACGAACTGCTATAAAAATACATGGTATACAGTGTTTTCACAACTAAGTTGTTAGTTGCAACAGTTCTGAATGTAATGAAAAAAACCACCCAATTTTAATTGGAGGAAAGTTTCTCTTTGCTATTTGGATGTGAAAAATGTTCAATAACTAGACCTGATAGCTAAGGTACTGAGGATTTTTACTAGGGTACTTTCTAAAAATTTGTAATTCTACATTCATGCTTTGTTTTCCCAATATAAACACAGACTCCTTTGGTTTAAACTTTTCCACTTGCAGCATCTTGGTGCCTTCCAGGTGCATTTTGTCTCCATTACTTTGAAACTGAGATTTCTGAGCTTCGAACTGTATTCTTTATTGGAATTATAAAGATGGAGAAATACAAAGTGTAGAAGCAGAGAGACATGACATGAAGTTTAACTTCTGTAAACAACACACACCACTGGCCTAGCCTTCAGTTTAGCTCTCCACTGCTGTTGTCATGTGTACTCCAACATTATGTGCTTATTAATAGTTCTTGATGAAATACTCCTTATTATGTAGCCTGTTAATTGTATGACGGGTCTAACATCAGTAAGTTTATCACTAACTTAGTTTATCAGGTTTCAGTAAACTTGTCAAAGTCCAGTGAGCAAAAGTTGCACAAGAAATAACTGCTACATCTGTGCTGTGGAGTCTGGGCATGGTAACAGAGGAATGAGGACTTAATATGGAATGAATAATTGGGATGTATGGGCTTCATTCCTAGTTCTGCTACAGCCCTTCAGTATGCTTTTTGGTGACCTATTTTTATTGTATTTTTGTATTTCCTTTACTGCATCCAGTTTCCAGTACTTTGAGATAGGTAGGTAGACAGATATGTAAAGAGACACGTGTGTGAGTTTGTTAATGTCTCATTAATGTTACTAAGCTTTTTTAAAAGACACAGCAGAGATGCTGTTCCTATGCTAATCAACACTCATTTGTGTGAAGAAGATCTGATTAAGTTTGCAGTCCTTGTCTTTAAGGAGCATGCTTCTTAACACCATCTCTCTGATGGACAATCTTCTCATGTCATAATGTCCATCCAGTTACACACTTAGGTATATTTAAACCTAAATGACTTTAGGCAAGCACTCCGATCTCTGCTGAATCAGAGATTAATGAGTAGCTATGATTAATCCTAGTTACAGGATACATCTGCAGTTAAAGTGTGATTTGGGTTTGTGTAGTTGAAGTTTCTCTGAGCTTCGCTCATGCATTTGACTGCAGTAGAAGTATACCCTTCAGTTGGTAAATTGTTAATAGTCTCAGTGAATGGAGGATTCCACCCATAAGTGTACTAAGGAAGTTGAGGAGCAGAGTAGGGGACCCAGTAAGACTGCTGCTGATGTTCATCTGGAAGCAGTATCAGAAGGCTTCAGCTTGTTTTTTCCCCAATTATTTGTGATATAGGACTGTCTGGAGGCCTTTGTTGGGATAACTGTTTTGTTGTGTCATTTGCTATAATAAGCACTACAAGACAGTCTCTTTCTTTAGAGAGCTCGTACCTTGTTGCATGGTTCTCTGTGCTTCAAACAGAAACAGAAGTTTGTGGTCTGAAAGCCTGTGCCTCAGACAAAGCAGGACATGGTAGGAAAGCAAATAAAATTAAAGAAGCATGTGTGTTTGGTTCATACACACATTTTCTATCAATAAGAGTGCATCAGCTAGAAAACTACTTCATTCACTATTTTCTCTTCTTTAAATGGTGTCTTCTGTGATTTACTCCAGTTTTGTTAGTCGATACTAGAGAAAATAATTGCCACATAAAATATTTTAAAATATTTGTTAAGTTACTGGCTATATTTTCCCCTGTGAAATTACAGGACAGTGTGGGACAGGGGTAAAAGGAAAGATGGGTATGATGGCACTATTTGGATTGCTTAACCATAGTGATTTTTCTGAGTCCCTAAATTAGGTTGGTCCCCTGTGAAGTCAATGGATTGAGACAATCCAGCTGAGTCAGTCTCTATTAAGAGATCTGATAAAAATGTTCTCTGAAAGAGTCCCTTTTTTTTCTCCATTGACATTAAAGGGAAGCTAACCGAATTTAGATACTTCAGGGAGTACTTAAGTCTAGATAGTGTAACTTGGGAGTCTTGTTGAACTGTCAAAATAATGCCTTTTCTTATGGAATGGGAAGAGATAACACAAACCAAGCACTTTCAAAAGAATCTTTCTCTAATTTCTTTGCAAAATATTTGTAATTACCAGCTAAAGAGAAGTAAATTATGTCTTTCGTAATGTTTGCCAGGTAGTTTAAACCTTTGTTTTAATCTTTTAATCTCTTTGTGGTAATCAGAGGCATTAATAATTGCCAACTCTACTTCAGCAAAAACACACCTGACATTTATATAAAAATGTTTTGAAAATAGCTTGGATTCTGCATTCTTCTGAACTGAGCCAACAGGTCACACAGGTTATTTGGTGAGAGGAGAGTGATTGTTCTGGGAATTAGGGTGATGTGCTGACTGGCCAAATTCATGACCCTGGAGGAATACTGCCAGAGAACTGGCGTACAGGGCTTCACCTCACAACTGTAACTTGTTATCATGGTGCCTGTTTGAGAAAAAAAATGTTGAATTTTCTAATCAACTTTTTTCTTTTTTTTTTTTGTCGTCATTGTTCTGCAGCTGAGTTGTAGATGAAAGGTATTGTCTACTTCTCAAGCTAGGATGGAATTTATCTGGGCAGGTGCAAAAAAAATGTGTTGCTTTGCTTCCCCTCTGTGCTATCTGCAAAGTAGAAGCTGTGTATCTCAGTTTAGCGTTGCATTGCTGTGCTCACACCTTGTGCCTTTGTGAGAACTGGGGTTTATTTTCTCAAAAACAAAGGTATGTGCTTCCACAGGTGTTCTAGTCCCAGCTCTCCCAACAGCAAACAGATTGAACTGTACAGTCTTATGCATGCATAACCTCAGTCCTCTATCTTTCTGAGATATTATAAACTACTGAAGCAAATGTAAAGTGTGCTTTCAGATAGTTAAATGTTTTGATGGGGAAACATTAAGCCGGAAATATCCCTTCTGTTTTCAGCCAAGCAGTGCTGGTAGACCGGACAATGTACATTGCAGGACAGATCGGTATAGAACCTTCCACTGGTCAGCTTGTCCCTGGAGGGGCAAAGGAAGAAGCAAAGCAGGTAAGATGTCTTCTAGCAATAAACTTGTAATGGAGTTGACATGTGCTTGGTTAAGAGAAATTGAAGAAACATAGAGAGCACATTTCACATCCATCAAGATGAGGGAAAAGCAGGAGGAAGTAATTCCTTTCTAACCCTGTCATTTTCCACCTGAACAACTTAGAGGCTAGGGCAGGAATCAGTATTTCATGTAGGAAAGTAGAAAAGAATCAGTGTTTGTGATAAAGGTTCAGACCTCAATAAAAACCCGGGTTTGAACTGGAGAAAGATTTGTTCCCCCAGCAGCAAAGAGGTGGTATGAGGTAATAGCATGAGATGGACCTGCATCATGCATTTACATCTAGTGAATGGATGGTTTAATATTTGTCGTTTATTAGAAGCTCCCTTTTATTAATTTCTCATTTTACTTACCCACTGAGGACTGTTGAAGATTTGCTGGGTGAACTCATACTGTAACATGGATGTAGCCAAGTTACAACTCATATTTACATACTTACCTAAATACAATACTGCTGATTGTTAAAAGATTTTTGTCTCATTTTCTGTTAGGCTCTAAAAAACATGGGAGAAATCCTGAAAGCTGCAGGCTGTGACTATGGCAATGGTAAGTGCTGCTGTGATGGTGGCAAACAAGTTGTTTTTACCTAAATATTAAAAAAAATTTAAGTGACCTTAAAAAAACAAAAACCCAAACTTTTGCTAATTTGCTAAAAAAGAATTTGCTAAACATACAGTTTTTATCAACAACTGGAAGAAACAAAAGGCATCATGAGTCTGGGTTAAAACATAAGAACTAAATCAACATGCAGGTCTTAGTAATGGGTATCAATGGAACACTACCTTTCACCAAAAGTTTCTGCCTATACTACTAATATTTTAACTCTAACTGGGGAAGCTCAGGTATAGACAGAGCTGCAACTGACTACAGTTGTTTTAGGCATCCTAGACTTTCCTCCAGGTAAAATCAGGTTTGTATCAATGGTGTTAATATCCTAGGAACTTTCAACATTTTTCTGGGGGGAGGACTCTAATAGTGGAGACAACCAGGATTAATGCTGGTTTGAGCAGTCATGGGTAAAAAATTCTAGCCTAGACTATATTTTCAGTCCTTTTATGGACTTTTTAGACAGCAGATGTTATATATGATATAATTTAGTGTCAACAGTTGGCTTACAACACCTTTTTTAATTGACCTACTTATCAGTTCTGTGCCTCTTGGAAGAATTGGACTTAGAATGAAATTCACAATGGATTTTTTCAGAGCTGGTCAGAAATGTCTAATTCCTTAAAGTTTCATTATATACTGGGTATTCAGACTTTTTAGGTGGTTCTGTAGGTAGTAGGTCTAATGGTCAATATCTGTTTGTAAAACTTAAAAATGTTTAGAATACTTGAGAGAAGTTTATGAAATAAAAGCAAGAAATGCACTAAAGATTTCCAACTTTTGTATACAAGTCAGAGGTCTAAAATAACTGCTGTTATGTAATTTCTAGTTGTGAAGACTACAGTTTTGATGGCAGACATGAAGGACTTCAATGATATTAATGATATTTACAAACAGTGTAAGTAGATATTTTGTTTCTGTTTTACCAGTATGGCTTGTGGAACAATTATATTCACAGTAAGCAAAGTGTTTTAATGGCTTGGATGATGTAGTTCCAGATTCTTTGAGATTCCAGTAGAAATATAACATTTTTAAAAAAATTTAATTTGCAAGCATCAGATCAAGCACAGCCTAATTTCATGTGGATTTGTGTCCTACCATCCCACTAACTCACTGTCATGTGAAGATCAGCTAGTGCTATCCCTACATGTTGATTTTTCATGTCTCTTTACCTTGATTGATGCTGTGTTGTCCATAATATAATTCTACTGGAGACAGCCTTCAAATACTTAATTTGAGATTTTGTATGTCTGTTTCTTTAAAGTCTATTTGTATGTTTGAATGATTTGTGAGTATTGTTATGAGACAGGGGTCAGTTTTTATACAAGGATGAGCCACACTGCTCCAATTAAGAGAAAAAAAAAAGAATAATGCTTGGTTAGCAAAACAGAATGTAGACTGAAATAGGTGATTCCCATATTGTGCAGAAGAATTTGGGAAAGTATGTACATAAATTCCTTATTTATACAGGTTTGGTTTTTTATTAGATAGCAACACCTGGTCTTGAATGAAGTCTTTTACTGATGAGTTATCAACAGTCTTCTGCATGTCAATATGGAATTGTGTGTGCATTTAAGCAGGGTAAAAGCAGACCAGCTGGATACTTAGTTTTCTTGTTGCCTCCTACCTGTAGTTCAAGAAGGTAGTTGTTGCTGTTCTTTGATTGTGAGCTGTTACCCTGCCTTGTCAGCACAGGACCCTGAAATTACCATTTCTGAGCTTAGTGTTAACTCTCACTAGTAAAACTTTAATTATGCAAATTCCTTGAAAATGTTCAAAGTCAGGTTGGATGGGGCTTTGAGCAACCTGATCTGGTGAAAGATGTTCTTGCTCATGGTGTGGGGATGGGTTGGACTAGATGATCTTTAAAGGTCCCTTCCAGCCTGAACTATTTTATGATTCTAGAAATTCAGCTCTTATATCTTTACCTCTTTTTGCCTTCCCCTGCCCCTGTTCTTTTAATATCCTTGAGTGCCAGGCCTAACTGGGAACAGAGGAATAGGTCAAGGGCCTATTTTTCCTCTGCCTTTCTTTGATATGAGTAAGGTTGGCCCCCTGCTGACTTTATGCAAATCTGGGATATTTGCTCCCGACTCTTTTGGCAGGGGCCTGTTTCTCCCTCTTGCTCTTTCTGTGAAAGAGCCCTCTCCCACTCCCTGGTGTTTGCAATTGGATGATCACCATTCTGATTTAATCTTTCTTTTTTGGCCATGTTGGTGTTAACGGTGTCAACGGAGTGCAAATTATCACTGGCCACTAGACCATAATTGTAGCTGGCTTCTTGATGATGAATGGTAGCTTGCTGAGATGTTAGAGCAGTCGGTGACGGAAAACAAACAAGGGGGAAATGATAGCTGGCACAGAAGACTATTTGTCTTGTAGCCTTGAACCTGAAACTCTTTCAATGACTGTATTGTATACAGATTACTTTGAACTGTGTTTTATCAAGCAAAGTTAAGTGAATGGTGGATGTTTCTGTTTAAATTACAGTTTTCAAGACAAACTTCCCAGCCAGAGCAGCCTATCAGGTTGCTGCTTTGCCCAAAGTAAGTGTCACTTTTCTACCTACAAAAAAAAAAATTAATTTTTTAAAATTCCTTACTTCTGAAACATTCTGACAGCTTTTCTTATTCCAGAATAGCTTCAAATGCAATTATGTTAATGAAGACTCTTAAGTATTTTTTTTTTTTCTAAATATACCAGTCTTATTCCCTCACATGATAAGAGATCTAAATGCGAGAGACACATTTCTTTACGGTGGAATATGGCAACAACACTAGAAATGAAGAGTTGTGATACTTAAGTAAGAGTAAAGTGAATTTTCAATATTACTTAACATTGCTAAATTAGTAATATAACTGTCAGAAATATCATCTCCCTTAGATGTCACTCTGTTCTTACAAGGTTTTGTTATACATCCAGTTACATTGTAAAATAGATATATCAAATTCCTAATACATTTCTTCATTGTTTTCTCACAGGGTGCTCGAGTTGAGATTGAAGCTATTGCCATTCAGGGACCCCTCCAAGATGCTTCAGCCTGACTATAAATAGAGACTGAATATCTGACCACAACAATTTTAGATTTAATACTTCTCCCTTACATCCTATTCCTACAGTTGACTATCAGCAGTTATGTACAGTTGAAATCAGTAAACTTACCGAGGAAAGGTGCTTTCTTCTGGATTATGGCCTTGGATTCTAAAATATGAGCTTTACAGCAAGTTCTCTGCCAGCAAACCCTGAAATCTCTGGGAGTTCTGCAAGTATCAGATGAGCTTGATTGCAGCACAGGGCCCTTGCTTTGTGATGGTGACATGATATTCTGGTATTAAAGTACATGTTTGGGTAAATGTGTGACAGTTATACTATGGGTGATCTGGACATGAAAAACTCTAATGATTTGTAATCGTAGGGTTTTAGTAACAATTTTAAATAAGAAAAAATGGCAGAAATGGGAAAACAGAGCACTTGAATGGCTTAGTGTACGTATTCACTTCTGTGTTTGGGGGAATTTTGCTGGTTTTGTTTCTGAACTGTCTTAAACTCTTTCTTTACAGAACAATTGCTGTTGGAACTCACATTTTTTCATATGGAAGCAATTGCTTTAGAAAGTTAATTTCAGAAAGAAGAAAATTACGCTTTTCTAAAATAAAGTGCTAACTTTATAGATCAGCTGTAAATTAATTTCTACATGTAATGTTTTTCATAGCAATTCAACTTTGACTATCTTTTGATTTAAAACGAAACACTGAAAAAAATCCTGCTTAATGAGAATAAAAATGGCATCTGTAAAACTGTGTTAGTCTATTCTGGGAACAAACTTTTCCTGATTATGCTTTGATACTCCCATTACAAAAAAGTCCCTATCCTGCTTATTCAATAAGAAATAACTCAAACCAAAATAAGAAGTTTATTGTCTATCTTCTAATAGCTAAGGATGAAAATAATCCTCCAAGACAGGAGGCTTTCAGCTACCATGCCATTACAGTTCTTGGCATTTTTCTCACTGTCATTAAGGACCAAAGCATCTGCTTGATGCGGTGATTAAGCAATACTGAGAAGTCACACTGGTGATACTAGTAAGTTACCCCTCCCTCTAAATTTATCTTCTAAGTAGAAATGGATACCATGTTTTTAATGAACTAGTTTGAAAGTCAGCTACCTCATGGTTGAGTTCATTCCCTGTCCTTCCCTGCAGCCATATGACTCAGAACAATGTTGGTTTATTTGGGGGGAAATGAGCAGAAATCCTTTTCTGTTGTAGTCTGTCCACCTCAATGTCTTTGTTTTGCTCACTTCTGTGAAGATGGCCATCCAGCTGCATATGGGGTGCTGCTGCCAGTGTATTTTCACTTTCTTTGTGTGGAAAGTAAAAATAGCTATGTACAGCCGCTTAGAGAATGTACAGTTTCAGTGGTAGAAGCACATACCTGCTTTACCAGATGTATTGTGAGAGGGAGTGCTGTAGGCTGCTCCTTCCAGAGGCTGCTGTTTGTATGCCAGAGTGTGTGACTGAGTGCTTTAGAAGATATTTCTACTCCCATCTCAAGTGACCAAAGTCACTCAATTTTGGCAAGCCCCAAAAGCAGCAGTATAGCAAGTAGAGAGTTTGCCACAAGTCAAGTCACAATACTGTGGGTTCAGCTGTCCCAACAACTCAAAACCAAACTTCAGTTCTCCTGTGCATGTATCATCTGTCTTCTGTGTATAACGCCTACTGATGATCATCTCACATAGTTTTAATCAGTTAATGAGTTTCATATGGTAAGCACACAAGAAAAATCCAATCTGGCAGCACCATGTTGCTGTCTGCCTTCCCATGGCACACGCAAACAACTGTCATGTCTGAAAATTCCCCTGCATTCAATAATACCACAGCCATGCTGTGAGAATCATCTTCCATCCCTGGATGAATTGTAAGTATTCCACCTGTGGTTTCTTACCTTCCTGCTTGTAAGATGTGCTTTCTAGCTCTTGTACTTCAGTTGCGCTATTGCAGTAATGTATTTCATATTTTTCAGGCACTCCTGGTATCACTTTAGCATATCCCAGAAAGGCAGTTAGAAAGCTGTGAGAACAGTCAACTCTACATACCCCTTCTAGACATGGTGTGAAATGGCTATTTCTCCTGATTTTTACTGAGCTTGTAAACTGTCTTTTTTATATACAGGTTAATAATGAGACTGTGACAGCAAGTACGTAAGATGTGTGGATGTTTTACAATATTATATTGCTTTCCCTTGACAAAATTGGAGATACTTATTTTTATTACAAGCAAGATAATGCTTTTAGTATTTCAAACTAAAGTTCCAAGCAACATCCTTTGAAAAGTACCTGCACATAAACTTCCTACACATAAACTTTATTAGTCTTGGCTTCTGATCTTGTTCTCTCTTCTTGGCTATACCATTAATGTGTATGCTCTAGAGCTCTAACTCAAGAAGAAATCCCACCTAAGAAAAAACATGACCAGGCTTGTTAAGAAGGAGCTCGTACTAACATGAATATGACTTTCTAGTAAATGTAGAGCAAATGTTGCTTCACTTTGTCAGTTAAGAATAATTAATGTATTTGAATGGGTTTAATTTGAACAGATTCCCAATTTATGTTCCTCTGTTACAGCTTTGCTCACACTTGTAATAATTTAACTTATTTGTAGCAGATATAGTTAAAGTTCACCTTCAGCAGATTTCAGCAGTGTTGAACAGGAGCTAAGTTCAGCCTTCTAGAATCACTATGGTTACCTCTTGCCTCCACTCCCTTACTTGTGCTATGCTGCCTCTTTGCCAACCTTGAACTTAACACTAGGTGGCAGTTTAAATTTTTTTTTTTTCTTTGTGCTGATCTGACCGTTTGCTGGTGTAGGCCCTTTATAGAACTCCTTTGCGTGTCTTCACTGTTACTAAAGGGTGTGAATATACCATTGCTTTCCGCAGTAAGGGACAGTCTGAGACTGAAATGTAAGTGAAGCAACCGAAAAAAATGCATGCTGGAATGCAGCTAACAAGATGCAACCCAGTAATGCCATTAAAAATGTTTGTACCAGTGAGGAGGTGCCACTCTAAAAAAAGTCAGGAACTAAAATCCACTTTTAGCTCTATGATTCTTTACCTTTTAGCTGGAGACCAGTTGCCCTGTTTCTTGAATGCCTCAGGCCTATATATGTGTTCTTCAGGTATAAGCATTCTAGAATGACTGAAATAAACTCCCTTATTTACAGCTGTAACATAGCAGTTCTTAACATAATCAATCAGCCTTCCATAGAGATGTTTAAAACTTTTTTTTTTAAGCAATTATTTAATTCTATTCTTTAAGACAAAATGACTAAGTCCCACAATTCTCCAGTATGAAAAGCAAGTATTGTGCATATCTCCTAGTTCTTAGTTCAGCAAAGTACGCAAACATTTAAGAAATTCTGTTTTAACTAAGTTAAACAGCTTTTTTTTTTTTTTTCTAGACTGAGCCACTAATATGCAAAATATGAAGCTGCAATTCAGCTTGTGGCAAACTAATTTCACCATTTAAAATGTTTCAATCACATGTAACTTAATAAACCAACAAATAAAACAACAGGTCCTGTATTTCTGTGAAAATAAAATATTAAATTTGCATGTTACACCAGGTATTTCTTTTAGTAGTTATTGTTTCTCCAAATGATTATATTCTATATGAATTAAACAATGCAAATATAAAGCTCACTTAATTTTAATAAAACTTTATTTTCTGTTAAAACATATAACCAAACTTAAACTGACCTAATCTTCTTCTACAAGCACCTTGTTTTTGCTGCAGTTTTTACCTGAAAGCAGTTCCTCACTGAGCAAAAGAGCCAACCCTAGCCAGCCAGACTGCCAACTATCTTCTGGACACCTAACATGCATATGTGTCTGCGTAGAGCTGACAGGGTGCAAATTTAACCTCTTCTAGGGCTGTGTTTATTGGTAATAGAAACAAAATTCCTACCAGAACTTTTTTGTTAGCTTGGAAATTGTTTGTTCCTTCAACTGTCCTGTCCAGCACACCCTGCAGCCTGAAATGATTACTTCTACCTTGCATGAAGTTAAAAGCTGAAGATTGTCTAGCTTTTGATAAACAGTTCTGAAGATGGTTTTGTATTTTCACTATGGTTAAAAAAAAAAAAGGCATGCTACGGTATATTGCCTGATCTCTGGAGGTTTATCTTGTAAATAGACACTGGAGTGTATCTTCTCAGCCTTAACAAGAGTAAGCTCTCTAAACCACAGATTGTTTTCTGCCCTTGGCAACCTCTGTGACATCCCAGGTTTGCAGAGGCAAATAATTGCATGTACTTTGGCCCTTTATGCATAGTATATTGGTAGCTTACAGATCATGAACACTAGATCCCAATGTATTTCTCAAGGTACAGGTCTTTTATTTCTCAAGGCAGGGATGTTCACCATATATCTAGCAGCCACATTCTGATCTTGTGGTAATTCAGGTGATTTAACATTTCATGTTTAACCCAGTGTCAAGTATATTTCATCTTTTAGAAAGGAAAATAATCTGTTGTAATTATAGAACGTGTAAGGACCGAAGATGACTGAGAAGGGCTGATACTATTGAGTCATTGACTGGCTCATCTTCCTTTTGTTTCCATTAGCATTGTTTAATGGCCTGAAGAAGTTGAACAGTGAGGTAAGAATGTATATTTATAGTCACCTGTCTTCCTTATAACAACAGTGGTAGAAAGAGTGACTCTGAGGTGAGCAGGTTGACTCCCTTGTATCTTTGTATTTTATTTCCAAGTCCAACCTCCTCTGTTGCTGTTAATACTACTTACTATAGAATGCCTCTTGGTTTATGCTTTAAAATTGCTTAATATAGCTGGTCAAACTGCAACTCATGATCTAACACGTAACTTGCAAGTAGTCAGCATGGCTCCCCCACCAATTTAATCTCCTGTGTTTGGGAGCAGGGCTGTGCTTGCACAGGTGCTGGTGACTAAACCAAATTCCCAGCTTGAAGGAAGAAACCAGCCATGAGATGCAGCTGAAGGTCCACGTTCTTGGGGCATCCTGGGTCCTCGCTGTATGCCTAGTCCAGCCCTGTATCACCCTGGGGAGTTCTCATCCTGCTCAGCACCTGTACCCCCACTTCTCAGCTATCCAAAGTGCATGGTATGTCTCTCATGGCTTTTTGTCATGGAATGATTTGGGTATGTGGACAAAAAGTTTGACTAGCTCTGAATTTTTAATTGCCATTTTAATATCGATCAATCAAACTAGCTGCTCTTTTTAACTATTACAGAAAGTAAAAATAAAAATTAAAACTCTGCAACATCCACCTAGCAAAAAAATCCCTAAAAACCAAAAAAGAAAATATGTATTTTGATTCTAAAAGTCTGTGATGTTGCCTACAGCAAGCTGACATTAAATGAAGCTGAAAAGTTCATAAGAATGCTGATAAGCAGAACATCTTAGATTTAGTGATATAGCCAAGGAATAAAGCTGATAGGCCAAGGATATCAATTATATTATTTAACTCAAAGTCAGCTGGACTCAGATGTGCACACACAGCACAAAATTTAGCTCTTAGAGGGGATTTGTATAATTTCCTGGTGACAGTAAACATTTTTAAGTCCTTTTGTACAACAAAGCTAATAAAACGGCAACATGTGCATGCCCTTTTTAGATGACTGACGACTTCTCCATATTCTACCCCCTTACGCCAGAGAATCCTGCAAACACAGTTCCCAACAATATTATAGTCCCTTCACAACATTCACTATCAGAACTAATTTCTACTCTCTATCTGTTCCATAACATCAATTATATTCAGGGCCCATTTTCACAGGAAATGTTTGAAAGCTTTTCCATTCAACTTCAGCTCTAAAATGTTTATTTAGCATTTTGGAAAATAACCCAGACAGTCTCTGACAGCACACTTCTCCTGGAGGAGAGCACTGCAGGGAAATATAATAGATGGCCTTTCCTTTGGGAACAGGCTTATATATGTCTCTGGTTAGAAACCTATTTTAGAAGCCACAAATGTGTATGAGGAGCTGCTACACAGCTAAAGACAGGTTAGTAATCACCATGAATGTTAACAGCTGTGAGGTTATCTTTATAGTTTAAGTGTGCTAGGATTTATAAGACTAAAACATCCTACTCATAGTTAGAAATACCCTCTTTGTTTTTTGCAGAAGTCATCACATATATTGTACTACTAGCCTTTCAATAAATTTCTGTTTAAAAATGAAGAGTGAGCAGCAGACACTGACTTGGGTCCTGGATGTTGCACCCTGTATATCTTCCATTTTCTGTAAAACTAACTTCTGCATTTAGTTACAGCCTGGTGAATGGGCACTTTCATCTTCCAGTCCTCTATGTGCTATACACTTCAGCAGCTCCATACACTGGTAGTCCAGGCACTCAGAGAAATTGCCTGCATACTACCATTAAAAAAAAAAAAAAAAGCTACACTATTCTTTATCCTATATAATGCTGGTTGAAGGTTTCAAAGGTTTGAAGTTACCTGAAGCTGGAAAAAAATCCGAATTGAAAACTGAATGATTATACTCCTGTTGGAAAACCACTGTGCTAGCCATGTACAGAAGGCACTCTGTGGCAGGGAGGTGAAAGTTCTGGTATTTCAAACACTTGAAGTCTTGGCAGCTTGACTTCAAAATACAGAAAACTTTTTCTGATGCCTCTTATTCATGTTGGTGGCTTGTGGCTCAATCCATAAAAGTTTTTCTGTTTTCCCAGCCCGATAAAATTTAAAAATGTTCATATGGACAGAAGAGCAGGCCCAGAAGAGGATGTTCACAAAGACGTAACTTCTACTCCTTGTTATTAGCTGTCTCTGAAACACATGTAAAAAAAATAATTTAACAATTAATTGAAGGTACAACTTGATATTCATCAGATCTTACAGGAATTCAAAGGGAATATTCCCTGGAAGCATCACAGGATGAAGGGGGTATCTCCCAGATCTGTGAGGAGGTTCTGTGTGGACTTTGAAACAGCCCCAAGCAGCCACAGGCTCTGCCTCCTCTTCTCTCAGGCCATTCATATACAGATTTCCTCTTACAGACATTAACATCACCTATGTGAAATTCTGTTATGCTGCAACAGCGTTATGCTCCTCCCCACCCGGCTGCCTTTTCTCGTAACAACTTTTGAAATCATTAGGTAATTTCAGTCATATGTGACACAGAAGCAAAGATCTCATGGACATTAAATCTTAAATAAGGACAAGATACAAAGGGTATAAATTCAAGTACAGAATATTACATTTAAATGTAAGAAAAACTTTTTTTTTTTTTTTACTCCATAAATACAGCCATGAATCTCACTGGCGTCCTTGATAGCCTACAGATGGTGCCCAAGAGAATGATTGGCAGAAATCATAGTGTCAGACCACCCAGCTCAATGTACTTCTTTCCAAGCCAGAAGACCCTGCAAAGATAGGTTGGGAACATGAGAACAAGGGGCTTCACTGTAGTGAATGGTAGTATTCCACAAGGCTAGGTAGGGAACACAGGGAAGCTGGGAACTTTGCATGGGAATGCAGGTGCAGGAGAGAGCCATCCAACTGCAGTGACTCTCTGTGACAGAGCCTGACAGTTAATTTGCACGAACATTGCTAATACAATGTTAAAAAAAAATATATCCATTTAGTGGTTTTGAATTCAATATACTTGGTGTGTCACTGAGCATTCCCTTGGTCAGAGATGGACCTCAGCTACCTTTAGAGCAGTATTTATTTTGCACTAGGATCAGCTCATATCCTCTTAGTCGTATCCTCTCAGAGGCAAGGCTCTGAATGTTTTTGATCTCTCAAAGTAAGAATTTTTCCATTCCCCTTAGCAATCTTGCTTCTCTGCCCAGAATCTTGTTTTAGTTCTTCAATATCCTTTCAAGATGGAAGAACTGCTCCCTTACACAACAGCATCCCAGATTTAAATGCTCAGTTTCATTCTTAACATTGTTTTCTCTTCTTGCCCACAGCTGCTCTCTGAGCTCTCTCCATCGGTACCCTCCTATCATCTGAAATGCATTACAGACATAGAAGTAGGGCTGCTCTTTCTGCTTCCTTACAAAACTGTTGGGGAGAATAATGTCAAGGCAGGTAAATGGAGAAAGTATTTCAATAAAGCTGCAATCATCACATGAGGAAATCTCTTACTCTTTAGGTGCAGTACGGTGTTCTTTGAGGTTTCCCAGAAGCAAGTTGTGCTTTGCTGAACTCACAGCACAGACAGATAATTCTTTGCAAATGCATAGGGGAAACACATTAAAAACAAGTTGAGTGAATGAACTTTTTTGGACTTCATAGGTAAAGCTGTATGGCATAGGTTTAATGATCCTCCAAAAGCACAGTTGCCAGAGACCAGCAATAGCTTGTCTTCACAGGCTAGCTTAAAAAGTAACAATATAAAGGTGATCAACTGTTTCATTGATGAGAATTAAAGGAAGGTGAGTGCTTTCTTTTTTGATCACTGCTTATCTAATTCTACTTGAGTAAGCACAAGGTCATAAAGGCACATATGTCTTGACCAAACTGCTTGACCACCACCACTGCTCTTCCAGGCTGCAGTGCTCATGCTGCAAACCATTTTCCTTAATCCTGTAAGCACAGGTGGGACATGCTGGCTGTTGGCTTGCTGCTGTCAGCTCAAAGGCCAGAGCACATACTAGCACTGGGAAAGAACCAAAGACCTCTCATCCCGGGTGCAAGAGGTTCATTTCGAAGTCATGAAAGGTGCTTGTGTAAGATATCTTCCACTCTTCCTGCTGAAGCTGTCCTTTTCTGAATTACAGAAATACTCACTAGCCAGAGAGATTTTGAGCATGGCTACATAGGCCAGTGGTCAGGAGGGAGGGGACAGGGGAAAAGTAGTTTCAGTCATTGCAGTAATGTTCACTGGGGGGAAGGGAGGAGGCATCTGCATTTCCTGCTCATCCTTTTCCACATCCCAGCAATACTACTGGGTAACCACTGCCTTCTGAGGCATGCAAATATTATACCTTATGTGATGGACTCAAAATAAACGAGTCTGGGATTCTTAGTGAATGTGGAGGAAGAAGAAGTAACTTTTGTGGAAAGACCATGATGACAGAATTGCAAACAGAATTTCCAAGTCTGCTAGGTCAATCCTATCCCCTCAAATTCTTCTCTTCACTGGTGTGATGATTTTCCAAAAGCACTTTATTTGGCCTGTGATTTTTCCATCCCACCATGTGACTGCATTTGCTGCACAATGTGCTTTCATCCCAGCACTACACTGCTGGTTTCAGCTGGTAAGCAGAATGAGGGGATCTAAAATGACTGGCATAGAATGGAAATCACAAAGCAGCATTAAGGCATTATCTCATAAAAACAAGCCTGCAAATAATGATGAGCAGAGTCATGATTTTAACATAGGTTTTTATTTTCCAAGACTGTATGTTACAGTCTAGCATTCTCCCCAAAGAGGGATAATTTATCACCAGTAAGACTCAAGTATTATATAAAGACAACCCATGTAAAAAGAATGACTTCCAATTGATTGCTTCCAAAAATATCTCTTAATGTAAACAAAAATATTTATGGCGTGCTGTCTCTTGTGTTAAAATGCAGAAAGCAGCTGTATGCCAGCAGGGGGATGACAAGATGTGCTCACTAAGGACCGAACAGTCTTTTCTGTCTCCTCAACAATAACCTCCTCTGTCAACATACCTATCTCTGTCGCTGCTGCACTATCCACAGCTTCTCCTGTTTCTTCTTTTGTTTCAGGCCCTCCATTTACTATCTCACTGAGCAGCTCAGTTTCCACCTCTTCTCCCGTCTCACCTGGGAATGGTAACCATGGAGATCAGATTAGGATCCACTGAGAAAAGCACCAAGTGCCCCAGCTCTTTTCTGTAAACCTGATTCTGCTTTGTCAGCTCTCCAGTGCCCCTTACCAAGACACCCCCGAATGAATCCATAGGGAACAAACAGGATGCTCCCAATTAACTTTCCATCATCCAGCTACATGTGTGCCTCATGCTTGTGAAGTTCTCCTGACGCTTTCACGAAATCCTCTTGATGCTCCCTATTCAATACACATCATGAGTACTATTTCCTGTTCAAGTTACTTTTCCTGGATTTTATTTTTTATATGTGTAGTTTTATTTGCATTTGGAACAAAACAGAAATAGAAAACATGGTAACATGCCAGTCTGGATGAAACTGTGCTTTCCCTGGAAAGCTGCCACCTAATTAATTTACTCACACAGCTACTGAAGAATAAAGGAAATCAAAACAAATGCTAACTATCATATGCACCACAGCAGAAAAATGGAAGGTCCCTTATTCATCACATGCCTCAAAGAAAGATAATGCACACAAGCTAAGATACTACTTCTAGCTTGGAACAAACAAGACCAAAACTCTTCTTTCCCAAAGCCCTGTTCACTCGCCCTGCAAGCAGCATCAATTGCTTGGTGGTCAAAGCCCTGTAACTGCTCTTCAGGCAAATGGTCAGCTGTAAATGTGTTTCCATGGGTATGAGGTCGTACCACAGTGTCCAGGCATACTGCTCTGCCTCCAGCACTGTGCCCTGAATCTTAGAAATAGCGATTAATGAAACTGGAGTTTCCAGTTGGGCAAGACTACTTGTTTTACAGGTGAGCATCCGGTCATTTACTGCTTACATAAAATGATACTTTATTCCAAAGGATAGATGCCCATTTTATGTAGAAGAAACCTCAAAATCCCTTTGTGAAGAGACACAGGAGAGGACAAGCCAACCACCATGCTCAGCTACTGGAATGCAGAGTCAGATTTATATAGCCAGCTCAGAGACATGCACTGCAAAGCTGCAGGGTTAGTGGTAGTGCATGTAACTGGGTCTGGGCTTCGCACAGATCAGTCCTTCTCCTTCATCTTGCACTTCTTCAAGGCAAATGTGGAGTGAGGAAGGTTGTTGATACCATGTTTCCCTGCCGAGAAATACTTCTCATGTACTTCACCTGCTTATTCCCTGAAGAAATGCTCCCCCAGGAAGTATCTGATTCCTCAACAAGCTGCTTTGAACCATTTAGGAGAAATCCGATTCCTTCTGTGAAGCGTTCACCTTCTGCATATGCAGCACATAGGAGACACACGTCCTCTGGGCACTAACCCAAAGATAAGCAGAGCCTGCAATCTCTGGGAATGAGCACATCTCCTGCTAAAAGTCCCTCTCACAGCATGTGGGAATACCTGCTGTCTCAGCCACCACTGCTTCCTCACACAGCCTTCCTCCCCAGCTAGTCATCTCCAAACATTTTTGGAAAGCCCAGCCCTATGTCACTCCACTGCTACTTCTATTCTGCTCATGTAGTGGCCAAGCTTCAAGGACAGACTGGGTATGCCAAGGATGCATCAAAGAAATGCTTTTTCTTCTACATCCAGGCATGCACCCTCCAACTTCATGTGCACAGGGACAGTTGCTTTCTAATTAATACATGTGACTAAATAATGGAGTCTTTGGTCTCTGCAAATATTAAGGGATGTGTCTGAACCACACAGAAACACAAAAATTTAAATAAGGGCTATGGTGGCGTATTTTACTTGCTAAGAACAAAAAGGACATGAAATGAAATAGCAGAGATAATGACTGGAAATGTTGATTAAATTTATTACAGCTTGGACTTTTAAGTCAGGCTTCCCCAGCCACGTTCTTCTATGCCCCATATTGTACAGACTCCCCAGACCAAATTCTGGCTCCAGAAGCTCACATGAGGCTTTCAGTAAAGTCAGAAGGACCCACGCACAAGTCCCTGGATGCAGAATTTGGTCTCCTGAATTTATGAAAGCACAAATATTACCCTCAATAAGGTGGTCCTCTTCAGTCACATGTACTTTCTTGATGATTTGCACTACAGAGCTGTTACTGCCCTCTACCAGCCCACTGTCCTCTGCTGGTGCTGGTGATGGCACCCCACCATCTTCTCCCAGTGCTGGAGGTGAAGGCCCATTGCTCTCCTCTTGCCACGCAGATGGCAGCTCAGAGCTCTCCTCCAGAGGTTCAGTGCCCTCTGGCTCCTCCCTTTTACTGACCAAACCGATCTTCCCTTCTACGACCAGAATCATGTCTGCAGCCTCCTCTCCTGATGGATGCTTGCTGGGGTTTGTCTCCTCAGAGGCAAGATTCACATCCTCCGCTGGGTCCAACTGTGTTTGGTCAGCTATAGTTTCATGATTGTCTGCAGACAGGGTGATTTCACCTGATGATGCTTTTAGTTATGGCAGGACAAGGAAAGAAAAAAGAGAATTACAGATACTTAGTGAGCAGGCATGTAAGCTAGATGAGCACAAGAACTACCTGTCAAAGAACTCCCACCTGGCTATGGACAATGCTCCTTCACAGGTCACTTCTCTTACACATATCCAGTAGTGGATGGTGCTGCTCTTGCATAAAAAAAAGTTTTAGCTTGAAGCACATCATGTGTTTTTATATGAAGAGAGCTGACTGTTTACAGGCCAGTGTCCTATTACGGTTTGCCTTACGGATCTGAAGTGTGCAGAAGTTTGCTGGTGAGGGGATGCTATGCAAGGAAGCCCCTTTCCTGCCCCAAATGATGCACAGAACCAGCATATCAAGCCAGAGGGAGCTGCTGCCCTGGGTTGCATGTGGAAAACTTCAGGTGGTGCCTCCAGGTGGGCTGAACAAAAAACACCAAGAGCCTTCTCATCCCAGAGGGTGCACAGTGCCCATTTCTTAAATAAAAACCAATTTGTCTGTCTTTTTAGATACTAAACTATCATTTATAGAATGCTTTGTCTAATAAAACGCTCAACAACAGGAAGCCTAAACAAATTAAAACTTCTGCTTCTTTCATCTTTCATCAACGTATTGGCTAAGTAAAGCAATGGCCCATTTTGGCAGACAAAATTTATGAATAAAGAAATGGCAAAATTACTCTGACAGGTATTTAAGGATAAAAGTTGAAGACTCAAAATGAGCTATACCTACCTATCAGAAAGACTGAATAACTTTCCGATTAAATTCAGTTTGACAGGAGCTTGTACTTAACTTCCTCCAAAGGAATGTCAGGATGAAAATCCTGAGAATTAATGTACGAAATCTGTTTATATAATAATTACAAAACTGGACAAATTGTATTTTCTGGGCAAATGATGACTGTAGTGTCAAAGCCAGTGAGCAGAACCATATGATACTTCATACACACATAGATGAACAGCAAAAAAATGTAATACATCCTGCACTTAAAACAGCTGCTTGAATACTGCTGATATTAAGAAAACTTCAGTTCTTTTGAAGCATTCAAGCAAAACACCTCCCTGGCAAGCATCACCTAGTTAGCGTGTGCCTACAGACCCAGGGAAGGACAGCTAAGCGAGGAGAAATCAAGAACAGTGAATATGCACTGTCAAGACAGACAGAAAGCAACTTTAACTATGGGACATGTAAAATCTCATTTGTCCCTGGAACTGTAAAACCATTGCGGGTCTAACCAACCCCTCCAAATTCACAGAGTTATAGCTATTTATAATGCAACTCAAAAAAAGGAGGTAAATTAATCTATGCGCGTCAGACCACAGACACACACCCTCCCCCCTGCCCCGGGCATCATCCCTGACACCTCTGACAGCTGCCGAGGGGCAGTGGAAAGGGCAGAGGGACCTAGCACACGAGGCCACGTTTCAGTCCGTCAAAGGACACTCCTCTGTGAATGTGCCCAAGCCTTTTTCAGGCCATTTACACTCTTAGCCTCCATAACCAGTGGCAATGAGGTCTACAGCCCACTTACGCTGTAAAGCACATTCTGGCTGGTTTTAAGCCTGCTGCCAGTGATTTCATCAAATGACATAGTCCTTATGTAACAAGAAACAGGAAATATATTTTCCTGTTTACCTTCTCTAGATGCCTATCACACTTTATCATCCTGGCAATCGTTTTCCTAACACGAAGCTCAACATGAAAGAGATACCCAGTCAGAATAACAGCAAGGAAGTCTTAAACTCCTCTAAGCTGTCACTAAAAGAAAGCAGTGTACGCTCAGAGACCAGAGACTTGATCTTTTCATGTTTTATTTTTTTATCCCTTTAGACACTTCTCATGCCTTCACCTTACTTGGTACCAGGTGGACAGGCAGCATTTAAAACCTACAGACAGAAATAAATGAACCATGAAAACTAGCATGTTATACAGTTTTCAATTGGTGTTACCAATAAAAGAAACAATTCAAACCCATTATTAGTAGGAATCTGCAGCTTCTATAAACATCAGCCCTGTAACTTCCAGCTAGCCCTCTCTTCATCAAGATGTTTTATATAAATTGGATTATAAAATACTGCCATGCAGTGCAAGGCCTGCACTGCTGGAAACCCTGGAAGCATTCCTCTGCTCTCATCTGAAATGCAAAGAATTCTCTAATATGGAAAAAATAAATCCTCCCAGTAATCTGTTCAATACCTTTATCCCCAAGAAGAATGAACATCATGTGGTAATCAACATTCCCAGGATGCCTTCTAGTTTTGTTTTATCTTAAAATTTATAATTTTTATGTTCCCTGCTGTAGACAATTTCAACTGGAGAAACAATGAAAAGCACAGTTAATTTAAGTGGACCGTGGCTACAGTATTTTCCCATTTGCATTCTTTCTTTCTGTTTGGAAAAGCCTCACATTTTTATGAGTTACATATCAATGGAAAGAAATTAAACAATTTTTTTCCCTATCAACACATTTAGAGAAGTTTCTTTGAAATTATCCTCTTATTAAACTAAATTAGAAAATAACTAATATATCTGTCCAGTAACTTCCCCCTTAATGAAGCCCTTTCAGCTTTAATTACAAACTGCACGTTATCATTACCATGACATTAGTTTATGTATTTAGTACATTTCATAACCTATCGTAACATGAATAGGCCTTTAGACAGAATTCCTAAAATACTCAGAAAAAACTACTTCAGTTGTTTCCCTGAGCCCTTCAGTGTTCCTGTGCAAGTATCTTTCAGTAGAGGATGGAAAGGCAGAGGAATTTGGTACACTGATCAGGTGAATAAGACAGCAGGTACAGTATAAAGAGATTTCTGCTGGTATTTTCAGCAGGGCTTCTTGGTTTGCAGATGTATGCTGGCTCTATAGTGGCACAGCCAACGCTCACCCCATGCAACCCGCTATCTATCATCTCTGCAATCACACACCACAACACTGTGAGACAACAAATGGACAGCAAACCCATACAGAAAACACGGATGCTGCAGCCAGAACAATAGCAATGGATGATATAACTCAATAAAACAGGGAAGCAATGCAGTAAAATGAAATGCAAACACTTTTTATCTATCTTCAGGATGTACCTTTCTGAAGAGGCCAGTATCTGTTTACTGCAGCATTCAGGTCCTTATAAAAGTGTTTCCAAACCTCCCTTGGAGCAAAGAGCTAAATATGTTGAATATGGAAACTTTATTTAGCTTCCACTGAATAGCAAGGATATTCTTAGGGAGCATCATACAAATATGCCTTGCACCCAAAATTAATCCCCTGTGACTTCAGGCAGTTCAGTCACAAGGGTATTGCCGATGCTGTAAACTGTGTTTGGTGAATGTACAGATTTTGTAAGAAAAAGGAAGGATCGCGGAGTCAGGTATTGACAGTTCACTATTAAGAGGCGGGGGGGGGGAGCATTGGATTTACAAAGTATTATACAAAAGGACTAACCGCAGGACCTGTCTCTAAATTTAAAAAAAAAAAAAAA